AGTGGCGACGATGGTGCCCACCCAGAGGGTGGTGTGAGGGTAAAGGAAGGGACCCACATAGAGGGCTTAGCCAAATGCCCAGCCCAGTACATGGTCTTTCAAGTTATCACTCAGGGTGCTTCTGTAGCACTCGTCCACCTGTAAACACACAGACACCTGCTGTGCACAGCTTCACAATTTACAAAGCCCTTTCACCTCTTGGATCTCGCATTTAGCCCTCACAGCAGCCCAGCGAGGCAGAGCGGGATTAGTCACCCCCTTCACAAATGTGGAAACTGAGGATCAGGGAGGGGGTGACTTGCCTAAGTTACAGTCCGTCAGATGTGGAATGTGGGTCCAAACCCAGGGAGATTCGAACCCAAATCTGTCACTCTTTCCGCTAAACCATGGATAGTAGCAGAGACCCAGCATTGGGGAGGTCAGCTCCCATGAGGGGTTCCATTCTCTGCCCCAGCTCTCGCCCTGTCCCGGGACTGCGGGCGCCCACACTGCCCAGTCCCAGCTCTAGGGCAGGCCCTTTGCCATGCAGGGCCTCAGTTTCCCCATCTGCGATGTGGGGACAGTCCTCCTGCCCTGCAGGTTGGGAGCTTCAGTAAGGTGTGGAAGGGCCTGGAGTTGGGTGGGCCCCACAAATGGTGACCATCCAGGCTCCCTCCCCTTTGGCCCAGGAGCTGGAGGCTGTGAAGGTCACGCCCTTGTCCGGGGCTCTTGGGAAACCTCATCTTTGGCCTCTGGTCTTCTTGGACATCATTCCCGGGGTGTGGCCTTCACACCCAGCCTTTGGGGACAGGGACAGGGCAGAGCGACTGTGAGAGAAAAATAGAGACTCAGAGAGACGGGAGAAAGCGGGAGGGGATGTGGCTTCCTCCTCTCAGCTCAAGTCCCCGCCCTGGGGCTGGTGTGTGGCTCCCAGGGGTGGGGGAACTCAGCAAGACCCCATGGGCCCCCTCCGGCTGTCCCCGGGGACTCCAGCCCACCACCAGCCTTGGCTCCCTGGGGCCTGCCTCCCCTGCCTTCAGCTTTCTCTCTTCTTGGCCCTTCACCTCTCTCTCTCTCCTGGTTCTCTTTTCTCCTTCCCCTCCTCGTCATAGAGGGGTCCCCTGACCCCCACACACCCACTCACACTGTGCTGACCCTGTGCCTTTCTGTCAGGCCCCAGCAGAGGAAGTCAGGGATGCGATGCACCCATCTTGCTCCAGGCAGGGCTGGCCCCTGCTGACGTCGGGAGCAGAGGGTGGGGTGCTCCTAAGTGTCACTACCTCCTGGCCTCTGCCACCAGGCCCACACTCATGGGAAGCTCCCCTAAGTCCCCAGGGCTCTGGTTAATGGAGAGAGGTGGCTCCCCGGGGACCAGCCAGGAATTCCCGGGGGTGGCACGGCATCCCTGCTCCCTGCCCTCTGCCTCACCCCATTTGTCAGCCCAGACCTCTGTGGAAAACGGGGGCATTAGGCAGCACCCTCGGTGTCCCATGAGCTCCATCCCTGTACCCGGGTACAGTGACAGAATGCACATAGGTGAACAAAACTGGCTTAGAGAAGAGCCCCAGGTACAGAAGTGCACCCCCGAGCTCGGTGAGCGTGTGTACTCGGAGATGTGAACATTCAGGCACAGATGGGCACACCCGGACGTAATAACTACCCTGAGACACAGACCTGTACACCAGCAGATAGCCGAGGACCCGCAGAAATAGACGTGCACTTATGAAGATAAATGTGCACATGGGGAGAGGCACATAGCCCCCGAGACTGTTGGCACACGCACAGCTGTGACATTTGCACTCAGAAGCAAATATACACCCAGAGAGGGACATTGCCTCAGAAATCTTCGTATAGATCCAGAGAGAGCAGGTACATGCAGGTCTAGAAGGCTAGCCATAGACATGGAGAGAGACGCGTGTACATGCAGAGACAGAAGTATGTGTGATCCGTGTGTGTGCAAAGAAACGGATATGAATGCACAGTGATGGGTGCAGTCACAAGGGCGTGTTCACACTCAGAGAAAGACAATCACCCACAGAGAGACGAGTGCACTTGGGGCCCAAGGCATAGACACTAAGATGGGTTCATATCCCCGAGGAACCAGTGTGACCAGATGATAACACAGGTACACCCAGAGACGGACAAGCGTGCACAGCGACAGAAACGGGCACATGGCAGCGGCCCCTTCCCCCAGACATACTCACAACGCGCCGTCAGGGACAGCCCTGTGTCCGCTAGCTCTGGGGTGCTGCAGAGCCAGCCATGCAGAGGAGCGTCATCTGTATTCCCAGACACCCCTGGAAGTTGGAGGGTGGGTCCTGAGCACGATACTGGCAGGTACCTAGGGTTGACTGTCCCGTGAGCGTGAGCGGCTCAGGTGCTCCCTAATGACTGTGGTGGGCAGCGGCCTTTGTTCCTTCTCCACCACCTCCCCTGGGGACCAGGAAGAAGCCGTGGCCAGGCTGCTGATGGGGGGGGGCCGCCAGGAGAGGGAGGCTCCACCCTGGGGTGACTTCAAGGAGAGATGGGTTAAAAAGAAAAGGGCAAGAAGACCTGAGGTCTGCGTAGCGTTTGGAGCTCACATAAATGGATCGCAGGATAGGGGAAAACACGCATTCCGAGCTTACTCTGTGCTGCACTCTTCTTCGCACTGCACGTGTCTTAACCCATTTAGTCCTCACAGTGCCCAACAGGTAGATGCCATCTGCGTTTCACAGGTGAGGAAATGGAGGCCCAGAGAGGCAAAGTGACTTGTCCCAGGTGACACAGCTACTAACTGCCAGAGTTGTGATTTGAACTCATGTGGTCCTGTTCTAGGAGCTGCCTGCCTAACCACCACACCAGACCACCCACTCCACTGGGCAGGGTTAAAAGCACACGCTTTGGACACAGAGAACTATGGGCTCAAATCAACAAGGATGCTTCCTAGCTGTTTGTCCTTGTGCAGTTCATTCCATAAATGGTTGCTGAGCACTTAGGATGTGCTGGGGAGGATATGCTGGGGAGGATGTGCAGCAGGGATAGAGCCAAGTGAGAGGATGTGCTCTGGGCTGAGCCCCATGCTGGGCACTGAAAGGAAAGCCCAAGAAAATGGAGGGTAGTCACAGAAGAACCAGCTAGCCAGAGTGCAGGGTCCTCTCTGTGCGAGGGGTACACCCAGGGAGGGGGCACTCTCCTAGCTTGGGGTGGGGTCAGGACAACTCCCTGGAGGAGGTGACAACATTTTGAAGCATGAGTAAGAGTCTGTCAAGAAGGGCAATCCAGGCTTGGGGCACAGCAGGTGAGGAGAAGGGAGAGAGAGGCCGGTGGCTGGGATGTGGAGCTCAAGGTGAGGAGAAAGTCTGAGATGTGCTGGGGGTGGAGGGAGTGTCCCGAGGAGGCATGAATGCCAAGCAGAGGACTTTGGATTTTATCCCGAGCAGACCTGTGACATGGTCAGATTAGCATGTTAGAAAGATCGGAGTAGATTGTGGTTTGGGGTGGGCAGGGAGCGGGCGAGAGCAGAGACACGCAGGCCCGTGAGGAGACTGCTATAATGCAGGGGAGAGATGGTGAGTCTGGGCAGTGATGGCTTCAGAGGTTGTTTCAGAGCCTAAAGTGGTGACCAAACTCAAGTGCGACCAGTGGATGTGGGGATGAGGAGAAGGGAAGTCGAGGCAGCTCCCACATTTCTGGCTTGGTGGATTGGTTGTGCCACCACCTTGAATAGGAAAGACCAGCAGAGAAGCAAGTTTGGGGTGGGGGAGCAATGAGTTCAGTTTGGGAGCTGTTGATTTTGAGGGGCCTGAGGGGCACTATGGTGGTTACCATTGGTTGCCAGCCCAACAGCCATCCTTGCCTTGCTATTTGCTAACCAAATCCTGGTTTTGTTGTGGTAGCAACACGCCTAGTCTTAGGGGATGAATTGTGCTGTGCCAATCAGGTAAGCTGCTCCTCTCCGTCAGTGACGTTCTAGGACTGGGTGTGTGTCTTAGTCTGGGCTCTCCCAGAAGCAGGCCTTGAGACAAGGGTTGAATGCACGTGGTTTATTTAGCAGAAAAGGGGAGCACTGATAGGATTTAGTGACCAGGACACAAATAGTTTGACTGTAGTGGATGAGTGCAGCCCAGCAGACCTTGGAGGAAGGAGGGGAGGGGAGACAGTGAAGGTAAGAAGTATAGACACTGCTTCAGGAAGCTGGGCTGTGAAAGCCAGCAGGTGGACAGGGTGGGAGCCGGGGGGAGCACAGGCTCCTGGAAAGTGTGTGTATCCCCAGCCCCCGCCTCGATGGGAGCCCTGCATGTGCTTACGTGTGCATGGGAGAAAGCCAGGCAGGCAGGAGAGGCTGAGGACATGGAGAGGTAGGTCCCTGAGCCAGTGGGAGGGGTGGGCTCCGGGCATAGGTGGAGGGATTGGCCTCGGACAGGAGGTGGGGCCACCATCCCTTGAGGCTGGAGGGAAGGAGTGCGTGAGAGCTCACAGACAGGGTAAAGGCTGTAAGAGGGAGGGTTTCTGCTTGACTTGCCTTTTTGTTCCTCGGGAGGGGGTGGGGTCATCTGCAGGGAGACGTGGGGATGCGCTGTCTCAGGGAGACTGGTGACCATCTGGGGTGATGTCTGTGGAGAGTGAGAGAGAGAGCCACCTAGGGAAACACGGAAAGGCTGGAGTAGACCTGAGACCCTAGACGAGGCTGGAGACCACGAACGGGTGCTGGTGGTGACTACACAGTGGCAGACTCCGCCCCGCAGTGCTCAGGGGTCCAGACACACACGGGAGGGTGTGGCCAGCTGGGCTTGTCCAGCAGGTGTCGTGAAAGGAGAGCAGGATGCTCCTGACCCTGGAACCTAAGCTCAAGAGGGAAGGTGGGGCCAGGGGCATGCCAGGTGGGAGGAGGACAGCAGGGAAGAGACCAGCGTGGCGAAGAGAGGCGGCTGTCCCTGGGGTGGGACGAACGTTTCAGAGGTGGGATGATGGGGGGGATGGCAACTCCAGGGTGTAGTCACAATAATGGTGACAGTCTTTCATTATGGATGGCTCCATCGATGCCGTCACGGCCCGCCCGCGCTGTGGCTTTCACCATTCCCGGGCATGCAGACCGCTTCTGCCTGCAACCCCTGGACTTCCGGCCGTTCATAGGCAGGTTGGAAATACCCGGGGTGGGGGGTGATGCCCTCACGCAGCCTTCACCCGGGGCAGCTGGCAGTGGTGGATACACCCTCCGCCTCCTCGCCGCCCAGTGGAGCAGCTTGGGGCCAGAATCTACACCGTCTCCCCAGAAGCCTGGGGGGTTGAGCCTGGGTTGCCCACAGTGGTCAGCTGCTCATCAGCACACCCTGAACCGGCTTCTTCTCGTCCCTGTGTCACTCCTCCATCCCCACCTGTGCCTCCTGGGATCACCTCCCAACTAAACCACTTGCCCTCCAGTCCTTGTCACAGGCTCTTTCTGTGGAGCGGCTCAACCCAAGAATGCGGCTCAAACCTGTGAGCTTCGTTTCCTCCTCCATAAGGGGGGTGCCTGATGTGTAATTCTGAAGTTGGGAGGACACAACCCCACGCTTAGCCCCATGCCCAGCACCTAGAGGACTGAGTCAGCGCCCTCTCTCACGTGCACAGTAGTGTTTAATAAAAGTCTCCAGCCCTCAGACTGCCCGGGACAGCTGACGCTTTCTGTGCCTGCCAATCAAGCGCCCCAGCTAAGCCGATCCGTCAGGCCTGACTCTTCCTGAGCACCTGCCAGGTGGCCTCCCATGCTGGCAGCAGAGGGCTCCCCGGGGACCTCCCGACAAAAGGATGGCCCAGAGGCAACCTGTGGTCTGGCAGGTGAACGTCTGAATTCCTCCCAGGTAAATAAAAGTCGTTCTTGCTCCTGTGCAGTGAGCCGGGCACTGCTGAGACGGCCCGTACGTCGTCTCCTCTAATCCTCATGGCAGACGGCCGGCTACTGCGCGCGTGACTCCTATTGCACAGTCGGAGGCTGGGCCTCAGAGAGGGTGGGTGACTTTCCCAGGCTCCCACAGCCCGGCAGTGAGTGGTAGAGCCGGGATTCAGACCTTGTCCATCAAACCAGAGCCCGGGCTCCCCACTGGGAGGCCGGAATGTGCCACGTTGACCTCAGATGCCCCCGCCTGGTGCAGGCTCTGCGCAGAGAAGGCGCTTAGGAAGGAGAGTTGGGCTGAAGTGAACCAGACTCCCAGAGGGAAGGGAAGGACCCTATCTCTGTTGGACACAGAGCCCTCGAGGGCATTTCTGCAGCCCCAGCTCCTAGCACAGGGCCTGGCACGTAGTGATGTTCAAGCAAGGTTTGTGGATCAATAAAGGAGTGAACATTTAATATTCTTGGCCAGAATTTACACTGTGGCCCGGATCCATGATGCGTTAGGAGTTGCACGATGTGATTTTCCCGTTCTGTTATTCCTGTTGCATTCTTCCATGAAGAAGCTTTCCCTCCCCAGCTGTCCACTACAGCCTCCTTCCCTCTCCCTCCGAGCTGATCTAAGCGTGTCTGAAGGATGCTTGTCCCACCTGTCCCACTAGTTAGAGGCTCATTTCAGCTCCCCCGGGGTGGGGGATGGGAAAGCCTGGAGCAGCGCCCACTATATGCTTTAGCATACATTATCACGTCTCCTTTCCCTGTCGGCAGACTGAGTGGCCCAACTGGACAGAGGAGTCAGACCGAGACCCAGAGGAGTTAGATGACTCGTTCAAGGTCACCTGGCAAGTTAGAGGCTGACCTGGGATGGATCCCCGATCTGCCCAGCCCCAAACTCATGCCCTTTCTCCACCACCAAATCCCCTCCAGCCCCAAGTTGCTAGTTGCTTCCTTCCCTGATAGAGTGTGGCCGGTGCAGATCTCAGAACGTGTAAACCTGGGGACACTAGATCCGTCACCTTAGAGTGGAGGGAAGCAAGCACCTGGGCATCAGCTTACTAATTCGAGGGGCCCATGAATTATTCACGCTGCCATTAACGTGGAGGCCGTTTGAACCTCACCTCTCTTTCCCCTGCTCCAGACCCTCAGATCCTGGCCTGCTGGAGCTCTGCAGACCTGTGGGGCCCCGGGGAGGACATGCTGGTGGAGCTGGGGCCCTGTCTGCTGCTGGCAGTGGCACTGCTGGGCCCAGGCCCTGGGGCCCAGGCCATGAAAGGTAGGAGCTCCTGGGGCCAGGCGGGGCCAGGAGGAGGGGAGCGGGGTGGCAGGCAGCAGTGGGGTCTGGGGAGGTTTCTCTGTGGGAGGGCCTTCTGGGGAAGCTGGCTGAGTTGAGGATGTATTTGTTTCTGAGACTGGGCAAGACAGTATTTACTGAGTGCCTGCCGAGTGCTGGATGCTTAATGTGTATGATTGTACTGAATCTTCACAACAAACTGCAAGGTAGGTATTAGTCCCCCAGTTTACAGATGAGGAAACTGAGGTTTGAGAAGTTAGGTAACCTGTCCAAGGCTGCAAGGTTACCAAGGGTGAAGGGACAGGCTCAGGGAACTATTAAACATCTATTGGAAGGAGTCTTTATTCTGCACTATACCATTCCTGAGAGCCTGCTGAACTTCCCCTCTGCCAGCTAAGTGAGATCAGGATTTCTTATTACGGCATTCAATGCCCTCCGAGTGTTGGCTCCCATTTCTATATAGTAACAAGCCTCGGTTCCCTGCATCCCTTGGGCATCCCATGCTCTGGCAGAGGGTCACACCCTCTTCTGGAGATGCTTCACTCTCGGGGCCTTCCCCCACTGTCCTCTCTACTTGGAAGGTCCCTTTTCTCTTTTTCCACTTGAGGACATCTGGCTCATCCATCAAGCTTGGGTCAAACACCACCTCCTCCAGGAAGCCTTCCAGATCCCTTCATCAGCCTCAGGCGCTTCCTCCTTGGAGCTCCCATAACCCTCTGCCGGCACCCTGGTTCCCCATCGCTTTGTGCTGCTCCAGCCCTCCGAGGGTTGTGTTCCTGGCTGTGAAGCTAGGGCGATATCATTTCACCCATCTTCAAGGGGCACACATGTAGTTGGGGCTCAGCAAACAGCCAGCAGTACCTCAGTTTCCTGCAGGCTCAAGAGGGGCTCAGGAGGGAAATGTAACTTCCCAGTCACCTAGTCGGTGGCAGAGATGGGCTGGGTACCCAGGCGTCTTGCTCCATGCCTGGGTGGTGGGAGGAGCTAGCTGTTCCCATTTTCCAGCCATGGGGACATCAGTGGCCTTGGGGTCACCTTAGAGGTCAGGGTGCCTGGCTGAGTTCTAGAGGACAAGGCCTCCACTTGTGCTGGCACCCGGGGCCTCCTGGGCCACAGGAGTTCTGCTCCTATGCTCTCATGGCTTTTCCTGTCCTGTGGGAAGGGCTGGGGGAAGGCCAAAGACAGGCACTGGACAGAATGTCCCTCTGTCCTCTTGCCATGAATCAAACACTGTTCCTGCCCTGGCCAGCCCCAGGGGCCAGGCGGGGAGCTGATAATGTGAGCTAGGTGTGTGTCTTGCAGCCCTTGCCTGGCTTTATCTCATCAGTGCTCAGAGCCACCCAGCAAAGGAGGGGTCATTATCCCATTTTGCAGATGCACGACTGAGGCCCGGGGAGGCTAAGTGATCGTGAGTCTGAGCCTTCGTTTATGTCAGTTCCTCCCTCCAGATCTTCCCCAGCTAACAAAAGCTTCTTGTTCTTCCCAGTCAAACTCAAATATCGCCTCCTCTGTGAATCTTGTCCCTCCCCTGACAGTGCTGGCCCCAGCAAGGTTGGCCTCCTCCCTCTGGACCCCAGACCCCCTGTGCAGCCACCGCATAATCACACTGCATGGCTTTGCCTCGTTTTCCTGACTCCTCCTTCCCACCCCCCAACTGTGAGCTCCAGGGAGGGACCCATGCTGAGTCAGCACAGGCCTGGTTCAGGGCACATGCTTGGTGACTTGCCTTCTCCTACAGGAACTTTGGTTAACTGCATTCTTTAGGATGCTTTTAGGGCCGGCCCCGTGGCTTGGTGGTTAAGTGCGCGCGCTCTGCTGCTGGCAGCCCGGGTTCGGATCCAGGGTGCGCACTGACGCGCCGCTTCTCCGGCCACGCTGAGGCCGCGTCCCACATACAGCAACTGGAAGGATGTGCAGCTATGACATACAACTATCTACT